TATTTTAGATGATGTTTTATTTCACAATTCCCTTCAGACATTCATAAAATTTCTGCAAGAGAAACTTTACCTTAGGGTTATTTTTTTTTTTCTTAAAAATTCTGTATCGTAAATTTTAACTATTACTGTAAAATAAACTGTTATAACCAAAAACAAATTACGTTTAACATCCAGTCAAATTCCCTAATATCATCACGTTAACGACTAACACGTGTTACTAAGTATGACATAATCAATAATAATTACATGCAATTAATTGCTCTCCACCATTAATTAACAGCTGACCTTAAAGATTAAGATATTCATGGAATCAGAATTTTTAAGTTTAAATTGTTTATGGGCGTATGTAATAATAATAATAAATAATGTTTTATTCTAACCACAAACAAGGTTCCTACTTAAAGTTGTAATTAGGTCCGTGCCACTTCTACCGAAAGAAAACACATTCGTATAACGTTACTTCATCTATGGTAAGTAAAATTTTTATGATCGGCATTATGGGTAGAATATCTGAATTGCAGAAATGAAAGCCGTGTTTTAAAGAAACTGTTAAGTATGAAAGTGGATAGATGTAAAGAAAGAGGATGAGCGAAATAAAGGTGGATGGAGCGTGTGAAAGATATTTTTTTTATACAACTTAGAATGGCAAACAAGCTAACGGCTCACCTGATTGAAAGTGGTAACCGTCGCCTATAGACATGAGCAGTACCATGGACATAACAGAGTATACTGTTTCGCCCATGAAACCCCTATGCGTTGCCATTCCTGAGGACTCAGGTGTTATTCCTCTGTACCCAGTAAATTCACGGTTGAAACACGAATGGGACAGAGGTACCCAAGCAATCCACTTTTGTACAACGTCTCCCTCTGGTAAATACATATATATCAGTGATTTCGTTATTAATAAAAAAAATATTCCACTTATTGCTACATAAAGATTGTTTATTTGTAAGGCAATATTTTTAAATAAAATTGGACATATTTTATTTCAAATTTAACCGTACCTAAATAATACTACCAGTATAATTTTGAGTTCAAAGCTGCATTTACGAACCACAAACAGTTTCCATTTATTCTGCACCTGTCATTTCCTGTAGATTTGAATTGCAGTACATTTGTATGACGTTTGTTTTTCATTCGATTTTTAACTTTACTGCGTTATTATTAAGACATTATATACAAATTTATCTGTAAAAAAATCTATGTTCCCAACGTTTCAAAGCAATTCATGCGAAAAAATGAAATATTCATGTATAATTTATTTTTAAAAATATATATTTTTGTTTTGCAGCTAGGGTCGTCAACTGTTTCTTAAGAAATATTTATCAGTAAAATTGTTTTTTATTCGATTGTCCTATAATTGAAACCATTTAATGATTTCGATGGAATCCCAATTGTGCTATATTGAAATATGGAGCTTTTAAATTTATTTTTATAGAATTGCATCTATATAGTTAGTTACCTGATAAGAAAGATTAACTAAATATGTTATAGCGCCTGCAAATAATTCTAATATGTTTTGTAAAATTATCTAGCATTTATTATTAGCATTATCATTTATCTAAGAAACTCTTCAATTCATTCGAGTTAAGGAAATTCAGTATAGAGCCTGAATAACTTTTAAATTTCTGACCGTGAGCAAAATATATTTTATTTTGCTTAGTTGCTAAGCTCGAATCCCACGTTACAAGTATCTTCATTATCTCTAATAATTCTATAGATGACAACCCTATTTGCAAAGTACGTTCAGATATTATTACTTTCTACATAATTACGTGTCCTCAACTTTACTACAAACTGTAAACCTAGTACAGGTACAATCAAACGCAATATATTAATTTACCTGTGCCTCTTCATAGGATGATGTTGCCATAACATTTACCGTTGGCGTACAAATTAGAAATCGTCATATTTTTACAATGTTATAGAAACCGTTAGTAGGTTTTTATTTTTAATTTCATGTACTTTGTATTTTGTTTTTTTTTTTCTTTTACCTTTACTATGCCTAATATTTAAAGCATAAAATTTAAATTTACAATTTGTTAAGAAATTTCTTCCTAATAACAGCTAAACAATGTCTACACAAAATAAGATATTATGTATAAGGTCATGTGTCATTCCTAAAAGTTTTATATTATTTTATACTCATAAACAATAATCAAACATAACCTAAAAATGTAACCTACTTAAATTCTGAGTACCTGCTGTACTTTCAACATCCTTTTGGCCTTTGTCTTCTTAAGGTTGTACGTTTTACATTATGATTTCAATTCAGTTATATCACTGCTCACATCTCGAACAAGTTTTCCATTATTCATATTTGGATTCCCTTTATATCTCATCATTTTGATTACTACATATACGTTCTTCTCTATCACTACTTTCTACTTCTACAATACTACATTAATCAAAATTAGTACAAATTAAGATTTTATTCCGTAAATAACTAAATAATTCAATAGTGACAAAATTAATATAGGACCAATAAATTAAAAAAACACTATTGAATGCAGATAGAGTTACCATTATCAAAATCAAGGAAGATATGGCATGCCATATACTCTTAAACATATAGGCGAATAAAGAATTCAAACTTTTTTCATGTTGATTTTAATACAAAAACACATGTACTCGACTATTAACTTTCTAGAGAACCTTCTGATTTCGAAGTCGGTTAAAGAGATATATAATTTAAAACAGATAATTCGTAATCTGAGGAACGGGTTAAAAAACCAGACATAACCACGCCGTCTAACCTTAATAGAGGCAACCGCAAAAACTGATGTGTCTTACCGAAAATTACTACCATATTACTAAGAAACCGTGACTAAGCCATTTTGTACAATCAGATACTTTATTTACCAAGAATAAGGTTCACAATCGACAATATACGTTCAGGAAACGCTTGCATTTTTTGTTGTGTTTGTAGATTTTCCGTGACTCATCGTCTGCCCAGTCAGACAAACTGTAAACCCTCGTACTAAGATGTCTCGAACGATATTTTTAACCCTTACAATCACAACAGGAATTAAATTAATATATTACTTAGAAGTCGTAAAATTTATTGCAGAATTTTTTCTCCTTTATGTAAATGCAAAAGCTGATGTGGTTGAAAACATTATTTAATAAAAGGCAACAGCTGACTTTCTAGTCTAAGTCTTTTTGGCTAAAATTGCATTATGAATAGACGATAGAATGCTTCAATTGAAATTTAATAATATTTCTCCACTTTCCTATTAGTAATAGAGAATTTTTGAAGTTAGCTAAAAATTCACTTCATTCGTTACTTTATTACTATATTAGTACTTGATCACTTTATTAGTACTTGATATTGAAAATGTATAGAAATTACTCCAAAGCATCCAAGTACAAAATTATAAGTATCAAAATTAGAATTGTCTGAATTATTTTAGTATTGAGAGTAATGAATGCTATAACTACTGTTACAGTGGTATAAGGTATAATAGTGAGACTATTGTAACGCATAAACAACTACATAAATTAGAAATAAGTACATACAATTATAAATAATTTGATACAATACTTAGGTCATAGAACCTAGTTACTCGCATATCTTTTTATCTTCAGTAGGTCTCTTTTTCTTATTTGCCCTTATCAGCTTCTCTTTCTCTATTTTGTTTAATCTTATATTGACTCTTCTATCTTCAATCACTTTTTGTATATAGTATTTTGTGCCTACTACAAGATATCATGCTATCCATCTTTAAGTCTTTTCTTCGTCTTTACTGTATACTATTAGGCAAGATTACTGATGATACAAATATTTATAACAATAACACACATAGTAAAAGATTCTTAATCAATAATTTCTGTAATTATTATAATAAATAGGTATAAACTAAAACTTAATACGTCTGCATCCTAAGATTCATCTAAATCCTTCCACTGAGCCATACCTGATTGACTGTAAAATGTCTGATGACCTTCGCAAACTTTTACATTTTTAATGTTAGTAGATTTTTTAGTCTTTAATAACAAGTATACAAAATTCATCAGAATAATGTATGATGTGATTAAAAACATGTTAATGAAACTAAAATTATATGCACAATTTTAAGACTAATTATTAACTAAAGTAAATATTGAATGGAAAAGTATCTTTTGAAAAGGTCACGAAAGGAAAGTGACTCTGCGCTGCGGAACCAGCTTACTGCAATCATGCTCAATGGAAATCCTGTTTCATCAACAAAATAATAATTTAACTTTATGTCCGATAAACACACTGTATAATTTGATAGCCATATAAAAGCTAATTTTTGGTGAGCACGAGATATTGCGACGCGATGACACTACTTCAAAAAGAGAAGCGCCGATAAAATACCTCAAAGAATGCGCATACGGCAAGCAATCTTCGAGCATGTCATTTGTCGCCAACGAATCGGGACGCAGTAACCATGTATCAAAGCGAGCCAAACGATATACCCATCCTTTACTATGTCGTGAGATAGCGTTCAGATTTAATTACTTCGTTTACAGACAGTTGATTTACGATCCCCTTAATTTGAAAGTGTTGATTTAAGTTTTGATCGAGACACCACATTTTCAGAAGTCATAATGATGTTTACCAATAAATCAGTTAAATGAAATGAAAATTCTTTAAGATAGCAATATTTTATCGATACAATATTATTTATGATGCAATAATCTGTACGACTAGTCAAAACAGTTGTAATGACGCCGCTGTAAAGAAGCGTTAAACTGCTATTTTACATTATAAAAACACCGTCATTCGTCGTACCATAATCCCATTTAAATTCCATCTCTACATCCTCATTCTAGTAATTGGTTGTAACAGTTCATTCCCCGCTCTCGAATTACACCATTATCCTTAGTTAAAATAGCTTCAAGGATCATTAACATTAATCGATTATCACGCATAGAGCGACAACTACCCAGTTTGCATACTAAATGATATATGTCTACGGAAATGTACTTAGCAATCGTCAAAATAAGATTAACCCTCCTCATTCTTGTTACAGACCTGGCGGCGATACGACAGCTACTCGAGAGCGAGACGGGAGGCACGACCTGTCCGAGTTGTAATATGCCCTTTGACAAGGGCAAAAAGAGAAAGCTGATCGATACTTGCGGACATGAGCGCTGCTACTCCTGCATGTTTAGGAACGAAGCGTGCCCCCTATGTGCCAGAAAGAGGCAAGGCAGACAGCAAGTAATGGATCGATATACGCCGTCCCCACAAAGACAAGACCAGGACTGGCAATCGCCAATGCGTTTGCCAAAACCGCCAAAACAACCCACCAGTCTCACACAGAGCCCCACGCCACCACACACGAGAAAGAGATTCTTTCTTAGCCCCAAATCCTTACGCAGCCCTTTCGCACCGAGATCTTCCCGGCATTCTCACGAGAACCACGTGCCTCTATCTGGTAAGTAATTTATATGATAACATTTACATATTAGTGGGCCCGCGCGTGGTAGCCACTGATTTGCATCGACGTCGACATGGCGTAATCGACAACTTACTGTACACGCAATGCACTTCATTGATGTCTTATACGGCATTGAGTCGAAATTTCATTCATAAGACGTCAACATAGCGCCTCTCACTCGTCCGAGAGACTTGCCTATAAGTTTTCATAAATAGAAGATTCCTTGTATCGTAAATAACGTTGAGCGACGCTTGCGACAGTGCGCCCACGCACGTTCCCGCCGGATGTACGTAGGTTCCGTAAAGGACCGGTTGTCTGTCTAGCGTATTTATCACTTTAGGTATAGATCCGTTGGTTTTGCAATTCAACCCGCGCAGACAAGCCGACTGCGAACGTTATCTTAGCATCTGTTACAGTTTTCATTTCCATTAATTATATCATACGGACCCACTGTGTTTCACGGTGGCATAATGAAATATATTGTGCGCGTAGCCGTGGGTTTGTTAATAAAATCTATTAGTTCCAATTCACCACGGCCCTTGCCCCTTAGTGGTTTTAATTAATCTGTTGATTGGTTGTGATATTTCTATTTGTCACTGTAACTAATATTATCCTTTCAATTCTCAATTAATTTTCGTAATAAGAAAGGCCATTACTTACGCCTTCTACGGTTGAGCAATCCAGTTTATTTACAACACTCGGCGCCGGCTATATCAGGCATCCAATGTATTCAACAGGGTTGCCAGAGGAAGGTCCAAGAACGGCGGCGTGGCCGAGCCTGGTCTTCAATAAGATCAGATCGCTCTGGTCGGCGCACTCGTCAGTGCCACAAGGGCTCAACCAGTTAGCAGGCACGGACAATGAATTATATGTGTTTGTTAAAGGAATGTGGACTTTACTACTATGCCCATAATAATCAGCGTTGCCATCTGTTGATAGACTAATCCATAAATTTAAATATAATGACACAATCAACGAGATTCGAACGACAGTTGGTCTATAAAATACACGTAAAGCGTGGAAAGAGCGCATTCTCTTATCATTTAATTTGATTTTATAGTCGATTTTGAATTTAATTGAATCAAAAGGTATTCAGTCCACATTCCTCTGCATCTGATCTGGCACATTTGTCGCTCGAGTTTTGCACTTCTTATTGCCTGCCCGCATATATCTCTGAGGTGCATTTGTTACGCCGCTTTTCTGAGTTTTTGTTTGTTTTGTGTGGTGATTTGCGTTTGTTTTATATAACGCTAAGAAATTTAATATCATCGACCTTTTCAATAATTCTTTGAATTCTATTCTCTTTAAAAATATTTGATGCATTTAACAGATTTTATCGTGATTCTTACTACTAAATCAACATGATTGGTAATTTTTATTGTATCAAACATGTGAATTTACATTGGTATTGAATTAAACGCTGTTGCATGATGAATCAGTCATAAATCTCAGTTCGATGATGAAGATACATCAACAATCACTACGAAAACATGAAGATAACAAATCGGTGACAAAAATAACATATCGATCCGTGGGCGAAAACGATCATCCGATCTGATAAATGAAGTCGATGGTATAGAAATGGAGAGATAAAATCAAGGAAGTTATGTGGCTTCAAATTGTATATGTAAATAAGAATAGTCAATGAATGATTCGGTTGGACAGACTGACGCTTGTGCTTGACAGATTTATATGAGGTTTAAAATTAATGTTATGTCAAAATATTCAATTAGTGGTGGATAACGTTTACTATACATTCGGTGCTCGAAAAAGAAAGTCTAATTCATTTTCCGTTTAAATAGTTTTGTTTATCTTATATCTATTCAGATTAGATAGAAACATATTAGATACATTTAGGTAATTTAAAATCTAAGTAGTAAAAGTAAGTAGATTGTTAATTAGTATATATATATATATATATATATATATATATATATATATATATATATATATATATATATATATATATATATATATATATATATATCTTATACTAACATATATATATATATATATATATGTTAGTAGAAATCTGAATTTAATAGGTTTGCTAAAAGGTATAACAGAAAGGCTTTTTTATCATATATTAAAAGCAATCTCATAAAGTCTATTTGACTATTATTCACACTTCGAAACATCTTTCCTCGACGTACGGTGGATCTCAATATAAAAGCTCCTTCGTCCTTACATCTAAATCGATCTCGTGATCATGTGACATGAATATAAGATCATCTCTTTTATTCCGATCTTCGATCTTTATTGCAAAAACCATTCAATCCCATAAATAAATACTATCACTGGCAATGTTTAGTTTCCAATACGAAAATATATGTTCTAATTTAATTGCATGTTTTCTTAATTCAAAATAGTATCATTTATTATTAAATTTATTCATATTAAATGATTCTAATGTAAAATAAAATTTCAAATTTCATTTAGTAGTTGTACTTGACTTAATTTTTAATCAAGCTTAAGGGAGTTAAATGAACGTCGTCTAGTCTATCTATTCTATTTATTACATAAACACCTACATAAAAAATATTTTGACATCACGTAACCAAAATTCGTCCATAAAAATTTCAATATTATAACTTCGCATCTTTAAATGCCGAAAATTATATGCATCGACACTAAAATAATTTAGTTTAGATATATAATTTATTCGCATTACTTAGGACACACAAATAATAACATATATAGATACATAAGCAAAAAAGTAAAAGACTACATAATTTATCATTTCGTGCTTATGCCTACCTACTTTGTTAGTAATGGGAACTACCAACCTGATTACTAGCAATCTCATTCTCAGATCGACTTCTCTGGAAACTTTCGTGCTTTCTTCCAAATAAATTCGTCACTATGGGTGAAGTGACTTACCTTCATTCTCACCTATCCCTAATAGATTTCATTATCAACCATTGAAAAAATAAACTTATTACGTGTTCCATTAGCTTTCAATTGACTAGACTAGTTCAAGTCAAGATCAGGTAATAGGCGCCAAATAGATTTGCAAAACATGCCACCAAACAATACTACGAGGGCGGTTACCTTGTGACATGACTGAATCAGACCGCCCTTGGTCAACCCACAGTAGGCTGTATTCTGGAGCGCCATTTCTTTCAACTTATCTCTTAACCTGACATTTAAATTTGATAGTTTCATGAAATTATTGTTTTATAGTATTATATGTAGTATAGTAATGTACTTTAGTGATATAAATATAATTATTTTGGGGGAAAAGGATTGTTAGTAATGGAGACTGAGAATCCCATTGCTAGCAATATACCCAACCAGGTCGACCTCCTCGCAGTTCCCCCTGGAAACTATCATGGTTAATTCCTGATGAATTTACCATTATGGGCTAACTGGCCTGTTTTCGTTCTCATCTATCACCCTTCACTGGTGCTCCACCAGCGTATCCCGTTAACGCAGGCGGGGTTACCATTCCATTTCCACATATAAAAAAAAAATATTTTACGAGTACGTAATTTTTCGCCATCAGCATTACAAAATTACAAGAAAATTATACTTTAGGTAATAATAATATACTATTAAAATCTGCAAAAATTTTGATGTTCGGTCAACATTGACTAAATTAGATTCTCTTTAGAATTCAAACTATAAGTCACTATCATTAATACAATATATTATAATATCGGAAGTCGGATTATAACCTTTATTATAATTTTGTATGTTAGCACACTAGGTTTATAACTTTTGCTGTCATAATGTTATAATTATATTTAATGAATAAATTAATAAATATAAGATTTTGCTTGGAAATAGTTCTATAAAAAAACTACTTTAATTACGGCAATAATAATCCAGTTATTATAATTTGTAAACTAAACTACTGAGCCGTTTTTGATAAATTTTCTATGGGACCAATCTGGGTATAACACTTTAGTTGAAAAAAAAAATTAAATTGGTTTAAAACTGACACAATTATGAGGTAATAAACATAAAAAATACAATCTAATTTGAACCTCCATCTCTTAGAAGTCGGTTAAAAATAAACACAAACGAACAAGTACTTCTTCCCTTTTTCAAAACACTTAAAACAACGCCCGTTTGTGATTGTAAGCGACGGCCCGGTCCGTTGACACGTTTCTCAATTTCATCCTATTTCGAAATACATGAAACGATTATCTAACAGCACGACAAACACTAATCTCTCATTACAACCTGTTATCCAATTACAAAACTAACAATGGATTAACAAAAAACAACATTCACTAGAAACGCAATGGATTGGAACGCGTTATTACTAGTGACGTGCCGAGTTGACCTTTTATGGTATTCGAATGTTTTGGTACTCGCTGAAAAAATAATCGAATCCTGACTCGAGTTAGAGTACTCGAACAATTATTCGAGGATTTGTATGGGTATTCGAGTACTTCTTTAAGACTCGAATAATAATTTTAAATTTTTTCTCAAGCTTACTTTTAATGAATGTGACAAATATACAGTCATTTAATTGATCATTTTGTAATAAAAAAAAAATTTAATGGTTAAATAGTAATATAAAAACTTACAATAAACGCTCGACTAATATACTAATACAGGTACAAGTTTCGCATACTGCAATTATCCGAATATCGTGTATTCGAATTATGTAATATTGAGTATTCGAGTACCTGAGTAACTATTACTAATTCGAGCTACTAGTATTCGAGTCAGACTCGGTGCAACACTAGTTATCACTGTTTATTTCGAAGTCAGTACAAAGAACGCTTCCGTTGTCCGTGAAACGCTACCGGCCGTGAGTTTACAAATGTTTGGGTCAATTCTTTATTATGGTAATGAGGTGATCTCATCTATATTATATCGATCTATGGTTTGTTCAATATCTGTAACGTAAACAATTTAAACAATTTTACATAAAATATAGATTAGTCTCTTAATACTTTGATATTCTTTGTAATAATACTTTATCCTAAGCTCTGCTATTATGTGGTCATTTTATCAGCCATTAAATGTCCACTGCTGAACATTAACCTCCCCTTGGAGGGTTTTTCCAGTAGTTGCTACGCTCGACAGACGGATTGGCAACCGCAGTTAGGCTTTAGGTTTTATTAAGAGGGCCGCTGCTGCCCATCCCGCGTTCTCCCTTAGTCGCCTCTTATGACATCCGCGGGAAAGGAAGGGCTAGCCTTTCTATGCCGGGACCACAGAGCAACAGCGGGCGGCGGGAAAACAGATAATTCCTAGTCAATATTATACTTTATTACTCATGATTGCACGGGAGCGTACGGACGATTTTTACGCAATACGGCGCAAACGAATTGTTTCGCTGTTGGGTAGGGTGCGTGTTAGCTCAAACAGTATCCTGAAGACAATTGCTGATAAAATAGACTGTCCCATCCTAAAATATTGGGTGGGACAGGTTATCAATGCAAGAGCGTCATGACCGCTCATTTACTAACATAGGTTAAGTCAATTTGTAACTAACAAAATGGGCCTTGTGTAGTCTAATTAAATAAATATTATTATTATTATTACTTAGAAAGAAGATCTAAAAAACGGTAACTGAAACAGCCCAACCTTGACAGTACTCATGGATGGTCAACGGACCATAACACGCCATAACCTTATTGCTATCACGTACCACCATAGATTTACGTGTCGTGTTTCATGGTGCAGTTCCCTTATTTTGTATGAACTTCGGGTCTTCAAATATTCATGTGCAGTAAAATAAAACCAGGGAACAGCTATTAAAGGAAACATAAATTTGAAATAAGTATTTTTTTTTTATAGTAATACTTGTTTTTCTCCACGTGACCAGGATATATTGATCGACTGGGAGCATAATATTTAAAGATCCCACAAGAAAGAAGTGTCTATTATG